AAGCCAGCCGAGAAGCGGTCCGACCGGACCGTGACAGCCCCTGACTGCGACCAACACCACCACCGCCACCACCACCACCACCATGCCGCATTTCACCGCCCTCAACTTTAACGACGGACCAACACGACACCCCACTGGAACCCTCACCGTCACGCTCACGGGCCGATACTCTGGCAGCGTCCCCCCCGACACCATCATCCAGAAAATTCACAGCATTCTTCCGACAGCGCAAATCAAAAAAATATACAGACTACAAACATACTACACATATTACATCGAACCTCAAACAGACACCGACCTCAGCCCCCTACACCTGAAAACCTTCAGAGAAGTGGCGGAGGGGACTGACGCCCTCTGCCAGATGACGGCCCGTGAGCGTCGCAAGATCCACCTGCAGTGGGTCCCAGTGACCCTCACCGAAACACACATCAAACAAATCGCCCAGACCTTCACTAGACCGGACACCCCTATTGACTTCCTCCCCAGGAGGTATGGCACCGACGACCGCCATATCCTCCTGGCGGAGGCGGACGAACAAGACATCCCCCACTACGTCAGAGTCTCGGGCTGCGGGCCGGACACTCTCTCCATATTGGTAACCATCCCCGGGCGCCGGATAGCGTGTATCCACTGCGCCCGGGACGACCACTACTCCTCAAAGTGTCCGGCCGGCAAGCCCGAGCAGACCAACGACGCCCCAACAACGACGACGACGATAACATACGCCGACCGCCTAAAAAACAACCCACGACAGCCCCACCAACCAACGACGAGACGTCCGCCGACTGACACCGCCACTGCCACCACCGCCGCCACCACCCCGGCCGTCGACACTCCAGCGCCCGCCCTCAACCCGACCGCCCCCACCACTCAGGCCGTCACCTCCTCCACCGCCGCACCCAGATCACCCGCCAAGACCCCAACGAAGACACAGACCCCAACGAAGACCCAGACCCCAACCAAGACTCCGACCAAGACCCCGACAAAAACCCTAAAACCACCACCACCACAAATACCCCTTGCCCCCCTCGAGGGCACGTTGACACCCCTCCCCATAAAAAACTGGGCCGACGAGACGGACAAAACACAAACGATAGAAAGCGACAGCGACAGTGAAGAAAGACCATTGACAATAGAGTTAGAAACAGACACGGAACAAGAAAAACAGGACAGACAGACGAAAAAAAAATCAAATCTACCTTTAAAAAGACAAAACTCCACCGACACAGCGACACAAAATCTTATTGACGCCAGAACAGAGAAGAAAAAAAGAACAGAAAAAAATACATCCAGACGGACAAACCCCTCCCCCAGACGACACTAACGATGACATCTCTTTTTCATTTACTAATATTATTTCCTCTCCTTTTTATTCTTATAGAACGCAGGATGGCAGGCTTGAGAGTGGTAACCCTGAATGCAAGAGGGATACGTGGTAAGTTGCCCCACCTTAAAACACTCATACACACACACACACCCGACTTTCTCTTCCTACAAGAAACAAACATCCGCGACAGGTACACAACACAAAAACTAACACAGGAGCTGGGCCTAGCAACGGGCGTGTTCGGCCTAGGCTCCTTCTGTCGCGGAACAGCGATCCTACAAACATCCGACAAATACACAATCACAGAACACACAGCGGACAACACAACAGGCCGCTACACAACGGCCACCGTCACGAACAACACAGATAGCTCTACATACACATTAGTCAACATATACGCGCCAGCACAGCCCCGCACACGAGCCGCATTCTACGACACACTAGCCACAACACTAGCCTCAACAAAACACAAACTCGTAATGGGGGGGGATTTCAACACAACACTAGAAGACAGGGATATCGTGGGGACAGACATAGGAACAGACAGATCGGGGAGAATAGAACTACAAAACATCGTAGACACACACAGGTTAAAAGATAGCTACAGGGAAATACACAGAGACAACGCCACAAATCCAACACACCGACACACAACATTTAACAGAGCGGCTAGGCTAGACAGAATATACACCGACCAATCCCTCACAGTCACGCAGTGCACACACATAAACAACACACTCCAATTCACAGACCACAAGGCAGTTTTAGTAACAATAGGACCCGGCGTACACACACGCAAAAAACTATCGCCACACTGGAAATTTAACAACAGTTTGTTGGAGGACGAGAACTTCATACAAGCAGCCACAAACACGATCACCCTATACACACAACCACTTCCCACCAACAACATACGCGAGTCCTGGGACATGATGAAAGATTCAATCAAAACCGTAAGCATCATCATGTCCAAACAAATAAACACACGCAGACGACAACGAGAACACCTACTAGAACAAACACTACAAACAGCAGAAGAACAAGGAACGCTACAAGAACCACACAACTTAGAGTTACAAACAGAACTAGAGGAAATCCGACAACACAGATACAGGGGGGCACAGATACGTTCAAGACTCACAAACACACCAGAGGAAAAACCCACACAACAATACCTTGCGTTAGAAAAATCTATACAGAAAAACAGACACATCGAAAAAATCAGAGACGCGCAAGGCAACATACAAACAGACCCGCAAAAAATAACACACGCATTTCAAGACTACTACACCACACTGTACACAGAAGAACACACAGACGAGGCGACACAGGACGAGTACGCGAAACACACAGCACAACTAACCGAACAACAACAACAAACGCTAGACACCGACACACAACTAGCAGACCTTCGGGACGCTCTCAACTTAATGAAAAAAAATACCTCCCCCGGCCCCGACGGCCTAACCGTGGAATTCTACCAAGCTTTCTTCCCTATTTTGGCCCCCCTCTTTATGAAAATGATAAATGAAAGCTTCGAGCAAGGCTCCCTGCCCGAGTCTCTAAACCTTTCATACATATCCCTCATTCCCAAAGACTCGGGCTCCCCCCTAGACATGAAAAACTACCGACCCATATCCCTCCTAAACGTTGATTACAAAATTCTTTCTAAAACCCTCACCAACAAGTTGAGACCGTTCATGAAGGATCTGATACACACCGACCAAGCTAGCGCGGTACACAGCAGAACAATACAGGACCACAACCACACACTAAGAGACATCATAACATACGCCGAAGACAAGCAACTACACACATGCATACTATCACTTGACCAGACCAAGGCGTTCGACAGAGTTTCTCACCCTTTTCTAAACAAAATTTTAAAAGCCTGTAATTTCGGCCCTAATTTCCGTAAATGGATCAAAATTCTTTATAAAAACCCACACTCCGCAGTGTTAGTCAATCAAACTCTGTCGGGCGCTTTTCGCCTGGGCCGCTCCGTACGACAGGGCGACTCCCTAAGTCCACTACTGTACGTACTAACATTAGAAACACTCCTCAATAAAATACGGCAGGACGAGAGGATCAGAGGAATCCAACTCCCGGGCGGGGGGGAACAAAAACTCATAGCGTTCGCAGACGACACCAACTTCTTCCCGAGCACCCGTAAATCCTCTAAACTAATACTAGAACACTTTAGGCACTTTGGTAAAGGAAGCGGATCGAAAATAAACGAGACAAAAACACAGGTGCTAGCGTTAGGAAAATGGGAAACAGAAGTAGGAGACCCGCTTCACGCACACCTTGTGCAAGAAATTAAGATTTTTGGTATTTATTATAAGAAAAGTAGGAACCAGAACCCTCAAAACTCGTGGAAGAAGTTGGCCGATAAAATTCAGAACCTCCTTAGTAAACTTTACTTTAAACAAACTTCCATTTTTGGCCGTAGCCTACTCGTCAACACCCTCGCCCTGCCGCAAATAAACTATCTCACACAGACACTAGACCCGCCAGCACACACCATACAAAACATCAACAAACACATCCGACAGTTCATTTTTAAAGGCACACCGAGTCGCATCCGACACAGCACACTGATACAAGACAAACAAAAAGGAGGAGTGAACCTACACGACATACGCACAAAAATCAAAGCATACAGACTCCAGTACATGAAACAGGTCATAGCGGACAAAAACAAACACAAAATAGCACGCTACTACCTCGGCACACGCCTCAGTAAACACACACCGATAGACAACACAACACCACACCACTTCGGCTCGCTACCAACATTCCACAAAAACGCACTAGACACACTAAGACGACACGGCGAGGTAAACGAAACCACTCACAACACAAAAACTTCATACAAGGCTCTCGTCCTCCGACAGGCAACAGCGCTACACGAACAAATACCTCGGGGAAGGAGATATGCTCTTATCGATTTTTCCGAAGCCTTCAAAAACCTCTTTATTAAATGTACCACCCCACTTCAGAAACAAACCACCTACCGAATACTATTTTCTATTACCCCGACATCAGAAGGACAGAGTAAAAAAATCAACAAAATTATTCCCTGCAAAATTTGTAAACAAAACGTTCAGGAGACAGAGGAGCATATCTTCTTCTCTTGCGCATACATTCAACCGATTAAACAAGCACTCACAAAAATGTTAGGCGCACCGCACAACACACCAGTAGACATTTACAAAGCAATTTTCCTCAACATGATACCGATAGAAGACAACGACACACACACAGTCAAACTACACATCTTATCATTATACAGAGACACCGCATGGCAAGCACGCCTTCAGACAACCTTTTGTAACACCCACCACACACCCACCACCATCATGCACATGTACACACACAAACTCATACACACACTAACGAAACACGACCAGTGGGCAACTTTTGAACGCATGACGAGCTGAGCTGTGGATGGAGAGACAGAGTGAGTGACAGAGCGGGTGAAAGGAAGAATGTATGAGTATATCCACAGGCGACAGAAACTAGCAGACGACGACGCGGCGCAACGACGACACCGACCCTCCCCCCCCTGGCCTGGTCCACAGCGCAGCTCACGAACGAAAGGAATGCGGCTAAGGCAATTTTGCCAACTTTTTGTCCATAGTTCGCGGAGTGCAAGTGAATGAATGAGATTTTCTTTGTGCGTGTCTGGAGGGAGGGGGCGGGGTGTGAGAGTTATGCGGACGGGGATGAGCCGCGGGGGAGAACTTGTGAATGATCTGAGTGAGTGAAAGAGAGGGACGAGTTATGATCCCTGGAATGAGTGGATCCTGCGTTCTATTTTTTGTATACTTTGTATTTTCTGAAATAAAGGCCGATATAAAGCCCCCCCAAAAAAACAGATACACACACATTCCTCACTCTCCACCTACACACCTACTACCACATACAGACACACTCATACATACACATGCATACACACACACACACACACACACACACACACACACACACACACAAAAAAAAAAAAAAAAAAAAAAAAAAAAAAAAAAAAAAAAAAAAAAAAAGTATCTGTTCTTATCAGCTTAATATCTGATACGTGGCTTCCTAGCCACTACGATATTAAACTGATTTTTGGACACAGGCGAGATGCCCGGGGCTTGCTCCGCTCTCGCCACGGGTCGGCCCGGTATTGCAGTCCCTCCGGGAATGGCCCAATATAAGCAAACAATGTACGAATGGTTCTCCAAACAAACAGACAAACAAATCACACACAAGCGCAAATGTACACATGATGTAGATCTAGATGTACAACAATTGTCGCATGTGTAGCTGCCCGCTCGCTTCAGTGTGTTGTTTAGATCTAGTAAGCGCACGTGCGAAAACTGAGTAGAGCTCACTCAGCCTGTTCGCCTCACAATCGAGTGTGCTGTTTCCCCCTTTCAATTTCCATTTTACGCCGGGCAGTCAGAGCAAGCGGAGGTCGAGGAGATCAGAGGGACAAGAAAATGTGCCTGCTCCCTGTCACGATGTCAACGTTTCATTCATTCATTCTGTTTTCCAGTAGCAGCAAACAAACAGTAGCAGCAGCAGTAGCAGCAGTAGCAGCAGTAGCAGGTAAGATCGCGTTATTGTAATAGCCTCCCCTGGGGCCGCTTTTTCTTTATGTGGAAATAGCATTTAGAGTTGTGTCCCTTGTCGTAGCGGTGTTGAGATTTACGTTTCGCCTGCGTTGACTCAAAAAGCACTATTTTGTCCCACCGGGCGTGTCGCAGCAGCAGTTGTAAACTCACATCCTGCTTAAGACGTAAAGGACGTCGTGACAAATTACTTGCTATGATTTGGATAGTGATTGAATTGCGTAACATGGAGATGAAACCAAGATCACTACGAGAACGCAGGCGGTGCAGGATTGCAAATGAAGACACGTAGCAAACCATACTTACCTGGCACGGGAGGCACCATGATCACGACGGCGGTCCTCCCAGGGCGAGGCCTTTCCATTGCACTCCGGTTTGGCTGACCCCTGCGATCACCTCAAATGCGGGTGACTCGAGTGCGTAATTTTTACGTAGGGGGGACTGCGTTCGCGCTATCCCCTGTCATAATAACCATTCAATGAAAGTTCAGGAAAGGAAGTACAGCACACACAAACACACTTGTACAAGCACAACACGCAGAAACAAACACAGCCCACACAGACACACAAACACACAAACACGCAAACACAGCACACAGAAACAATAACAGAACGAGCCCGGTGGCCGTAGGCCAGATTCTAGATCTACTACTACTACTGTTTGTTCGTCGACAGCGTACTTGGGATCATTTCATTTGATCCCTTCTGATCGCCGTTTGATCTCAAGGACGGCGGTCGTTCTTCTAGCAACAGATTTCACACCTATGTGCCATGTCTCGGAGGTCCGCGATCTGAGCTGAGCGCACCCTTTGTTGGGAAATGAAAATTAAGGTAATGTTTCTTGACATTTTTATGCTTATTATCATCATTGTTAATTTTTTTATGCGTTTGTTGACGCACTTTGCAGTACAGTTTCCTTTGTCCCTCCCCCCAACACCTCGCCCGTGTCCATTTAGAGTCATGCCTTGGGTGTAGGTGTTGGTGGCGTGATGAAAGAAACTAGCCTTTCCGTGCCGGCAGCACACGACGCGGCGCACAGAAAATCACACTTTGATCTTTTTAAAAGACAGCAGGCTCCTCTCCATTTAAGAACAACGCTTAACATGTTGAAAAAAATAAAACAATGCAGTGGGTGAAGAGACAGACTCAGGAAAAAGTTAGGTTGCTCCTCGAAAGGGCTCGGAAGTATGCCTCAACTTGGAAGCAGAGAAGTAAGGACAAAGAACTGGAGGTGAGAAATAGAAGAAAAGAAAGAATAATGGAAAATAATCGACAGAAGAAAGAGAAACAGTTAAAGAACATGGAGGAAAAGAATACGGTTTTGACTTGTATTTTAAACCAAGGCGGTATCTGTAAGACTAAAGAAGATTTACTGCAGTGGACCGCAAAACCTGAGCCTTACTGATCTTCAATATCAACCGTTCATCTCCCCAAAATATGTGCCACTTGAACGGATGGCTCCAGCAGAGAGAGCCACACAATTCCATGCCCGTAGAGTGCATCTCCAGGTTAGTACATGGCTTAATCTGCGCACTGTCTTTGACTTTGTTGATTACGACTTCACTGTGAGTGACAACATTGTGAGCCCAGTGATAACTGACAATGCCCCGGCCCCAGATGAACTGCTACGTGAAATCCGCTGTTCGTGTAAGAGCAGCACTCCACTATGCAAATCCTGTACTTGCTGCAAGTACAACATCCCTTGCAGTATACATTGTCATTGCAGAGGACAGTATGAAAATGCTTTAGAAACGACACAATTTAAATTGGGCTCAGGGAAGGAACCACCGAGCTCAGTATCTTCTAGTTTACACATTAAGTGCATGGCCTACGACGCGGGTGGGGTGGAAGGGGACCAGCTCTCTACAAATCAACGTAAACAGACTTCTTCTTAAGTTCCCTAACTAGGCCGTAACAAGGGTAGGAAGGACTCTATAGCTCTTGAGAGCAACCAGTCTAGAAGAAGGAAACTCATACACAGCGGAAGTCATACACTTATGACCATAACTCGAACAATCGGTTAGAAATGGAAGGGGGGAGTTCCAAATGTGAAATCACAAAAAGTTCTTATTTCGCCCTAACTTTACTATTTTTACTTATCTTCCCATGTTTACCAACAAATTTTCTTGAAGTTTGGCATACAAAAGCCGATCTGCATGCTATGCCGGTACATGGATTTATTTTTGTGGTTTATATGACCACACCGTATCTTTTTGTTTTTAAACGTTTAACATTATTATCTCAATCATGTGTTTACTGCCAATATGTAATTTAAATGTAAGTTAATTGCATAAACAACATAAATTCGGAGTTTTTCTTGTTGAGACGTTGAATTTGATACCAAACACGACCAAATTTGAGCTATTTTTAAAGATCACCTTGACACTGACCTTGACCTATAATAATCTTTAAATGCTAATTAAGCGATAACTATTGATCCAATTTTAAAAATAAAAGTATTTTTGAGTTTTATTTGACTATCTCTTTCATTCTGAACAAATAATGACATCTTTTAACGAATTCGAAAATTGACCTTTTTGACCTTTATTAGGTTAAAATTAGGCATGTTCCCAAAGGGTGATTTTCGTTGAATTTTTTTTGATAGTACTTAACGGCTCAAAGTTCAAGTTGGCGTAAAAATTTGGTTGTTATCTTTCATGTCCGGGTTCGATGTCAATTTTTACTGGCCTGCGGGGATGGAGAGGTCACAGTGCTGTGATGGAAGGAGCGAATGTATGACGTGCGCAAGCAGATGGAACGCACAGTAGGGTGTGGTGAGGTGGGGGACAACACAGCGGGCGAGTTAGCCTAGAGAACTTTACTTTTGATCGCTGACGCCGAGCTGTCAACATTGCTAGCGCTAGAGAAAGAAACCTTTTTAGATTTGTGATCAAGTAAGACCTAGAGGTCATGTTGAGCCAAATCATCATCAGGGGAGATTACAAAAAGAAACGAACCCGACTCGTAGTTCGCGAGCGTCGTAAAACACTTACCTCTCTCTCTCTCTCTCT